TCTGGAAACTTGTGCAAGCTCTTCCAGGTCATTCGTGACACTGGTCACAAAAGACCTGGTGTCAGTGAGGTCATATGCGAGGTTGACAGAACGTCGATCATCAACTTACACAGGCGCATGGACAGCTAGGCTGAACACTCCCACACTCAATTCAGCTGGCCTCCTCCACCGGTGAGCCTAATGTGTACACCTAGTTGTGCAGCTTGGAACGTCTCATTGGAATCACCCACTGAAGCTGAGGTTTGCCTTGAGCTCCGACACGTAAAGCGATTCAAGTCCGCAGGCCTAGATGGAGTTCCTCCGGAGCTGTTCAAGTTCGGTGGCGAAGCAATTGTCAACCAGCTAACAGCTCCGTTCTCTAAAATCTGGTGTGAAGAAACAGTTCCATCCGCTTGGGGCGAGTCAATTATCGTCCCGATCATCAAGAAAAGTGCCCGTACCCTATGCGCTAACCACCGAGGAATCAGTCTAAAGTCCGTGGTCTCCAAGCTGTTAACATCCACTTTACTCCGTAAACTAACCCCGATTCGGGAAATGCATTCCCTTGAAGAACAGGCTGGTTTCCGCCCCAGTCGAGGGTATATAGACCACTTGTTTACGCTTCGCCAACTCCTTGAAAGGAGTCACCTTTGCCGCCAGCCCACTATGGTTGTTTTCCTGGACATCCGAGCCGCTTGTGACTCCGTCGATCGACCAGCTTTATGGAGTTGTCTACAAAGGAATGGAGTTCCCGGAAAGTATATCGCCATCCTTCGAGCATTATATTGCAATGTCTCGGTTAAAATGAGGGCTTACGGTAAACTCTCTTTACCTTTTGCCGTCACTAGCGGTGTACGACAGGGTTGCCCCATGTCCCCGTTTCTCTTCAATTTTGCGATCGTCCTTTTAAAAGATCTCGAGAGCTTTCAGCGTTCTGGCGTAGAGCTTCTTCCTGGCAACAGCGTGACCGATTTAGATTATGCGGATGATATTGTCTTGCTCGGTGATGACGCACAAAGCACACAGGCCGTTCTAAATTACTTGGCGATTAAAGCATCAAAATATGGCATGACTTTTGCTACTACGAAATGCAAAGTCCTCGTCCTGGATTGGCATCTACCTGTCCCAGTGTTCACTCTTCAACGTACGTAGCTTGAACAAGTTGACTACTTTGTTACCTTGGGAAGCTGTGTCTCTGCGGATGGAAGCATTGGAAAAAAGATTTCTCTCCGCAATGTCAAAGTCCGTTCCGGCGTTCGCCAACTTGTGGCGACGCCGTGACGTTTCACTATTGGTAAAGGGCAGGGTCTACAATGCCTGTGTTCGCGCGGTACTGCTGTATGGGAGTGAATGCTGGCCGATTCGTGTCGGATTTCGGTTTTTGACAATGGATGTCTGCAGAGAATAGCTCGAGTGTGGTGGATGAATCACCTGCAAAACGGTGATTTTAGACGTAGTTTCTTGGGTAAAGCGGGACTTCCACTTGACAGACTCGTACCGCTGCGGCAACTGATGTGACTGGGCCACGTTTTACGCGTGAAATGCGAACGGCTGCTCCGACTCGTTCTCTTCGCTCGCACAAAACCAGCCTGGAAGAAATCGCGCGGTGGTCAGCCTATCACGTAGCGACAAACGATTAAAGTGCTGATTTCCAGTTTAGCTGTTGTAGGTCTCGTGCGTCTTCCGAGCTAGAGGATCAAAGATGAAGAATAACCGCTGGCTGGAAACGTTCATATGGTACAGAACCGGGCCAAATAGAAAATGTGTACGTATGTTTGCCTTGATTTTCTTGATTTACATCGCAAACATTAAACAGACAAAAAAGATAAAACACCGTGTGAAAAAAAAACAAAAAGACAAGCAAGATTCTTTACATTATATATATATATATATATATATATATATATATATATATATATATCGTCTGGTTGATTTGGGCTTGCACAATTTCTACAACACTGTGCGCATGGTGAGTCGGGAAGACACTGAATGCAGTTCAATTGCGTTAACAACTATGTTTAATTGGCTTACGGATGCAAATTAAATCCTTAGGGAGAAACTCAATTGCATACTGGATGCAATCAATCGGGAAATGGTATACACATGAGCAACTCTCCGTATCACGCATTAGCAAAATGGTTGACCGAGTTACTTGAACTGACAGGACCGCAGTTAGCTATGTACAGTTGCAGGGACTCTGCTTTTGTGGACGCTGTAAAAAGCCTAAATGTAAAACACAAATTGCTCTTCTCACTTGATGTCACTTCGCTGTTTACAAATATCCCCGTTAAGGAGACAATTGATTGTCTAGGCGAATATATTGAGAGCAAAGGCAAGCGCGCTGACCTGACAATGGAGGACCTGAAGACGTTGCTCTATCAATACACGCACAATGTTCAGTTTTGTTTCCCTGGACATTTATGTAGACAGAAAGATGGACTAGCAATGAGTTCACCTCTGGGTCCTTTGTTCATTGACATTTCCATTGGGAAACTAGAAGAAGGCTCATGGAATGAAAGGACTAAACGACTGCCACTTTGTAAACGTTATATTGACGAGATCATGTGCATGGCGAACAAAACAGGAAACCAGATTGAATTTCTAAGAAAATTCAATCAAGGATATAGAGACATTAAATTGAGCATACAACCGGAGTCCGACGGATGTGTGGTGTTCCCCGACGTACAAATGTCGTGCCGACCGCACGGAAGGTCACGTTAAATGTATGGAAAAGAATCATGAAATAAATCTGACACATTACACATTGCGTGTGGAACTCAGGAACTAATTTCTTGAGCACATACGTGACCATATGAGTCACAGCAACAGTAAGTTCCAAATAAGAACTACTCGAGCACGGCTTTCGAGGCTGGATAGTGACACAAGGAAGGGGGATTAACAGATTCTAGGTGGGGCGCTCTGTTTAAAGAACATATAACAGATCGTATGAATGCATCATTACCATGTGTTATAATCTACCTCTGTCTGCGCGATTCCGATTGAACTGTATTCTTTCCCTGCAGGCCCCCGAAACCCCAGCAGAAAAGCAAAAATCAACGCTTGAAAGCACAAGCGTGTTTCGGAACCAGCTACCGGAACGCGTACAAGTAGTGTAAAAAGTAGTGGATATTTAGTGGCCAACCCAGGAAGGTTCGCATATGACAGCAGCTAGGTTAGCTGATTTAATTTGTAGTTCAGTTCCGCTAGCCATTGGAGAGATAGGTACGTCCGTCGCATAGACACGAAGGTTCTTGAAACCACTTGATGCTTCGCCTTCACACCATTGACTCAATTCGTTTTCCAATCGAATTAAGTCTTCCTGGGAGATTATACTCTCCCTGACACCATGAATGAATCCGAGTTAAAGGACATACATCTTTGTGCACATTAATTGAAACAAACTACGATTGTGTCTCTTTTTCTATGAATATCATGTTTTTATACATGAAAGCTGCCGTTTTGCATTTATTTTTTATTTTATTTTGGGAATAGATATTTCATCATTGTTTGTGAATCAGACGATGTAATAACTGCGCATGTCTAGTCGTTACATCACCCAAGATTGCATCATACTTTTTATGGTTAGTAAGGTTTTTGTTTCAACTTCTTGTTTTTTGTGACTCAGTCATTGTTTGAGATGGACGTGACTCCCAGAAGGCGCATGAAAATCGTGACCTTGCACGAACACACAGACAAGACCTACAGGGACATAGCAAGAATAGTAGGCGTCAGTCCGGCAACCGTCAGCCGTGGTCAAAATGAAAAAGGAAACGGGATGCATTTCGCCAAAACGAAAAGGGAAATGTGGTCCTAAGAGGAAAACCACTGCCAGGGATGACGATTACCTAATACGGGAAAGAGTTGAAGATCCTCGAAAGACTAGTGACGCATTAAAACGTGATTTGGGAGAGAAAGGAATAGAAATCAGTTCTTCAACGGTTCGCAGGCGACTCCTGGAAGTTGGTCGGAAAGCCAGACGGCCTGTGAAAAAACAACTTCTGACAAAAGTAATGAAAGTTAAGCGTTACAAATGGGGACTAATATAAAAAACTGGACCAAAGAAGATTGGAGAAAAGTTCTATTCAGCGATGAAAGCCATTTCTATGTTCATGGTCAGAGAAGTCAGTATGTTCGGAGGTCAGAGGGAGAAAAGGTTCGTGATTCACACATTGACCACTTTGTGAAACACCCACAAAAGCAGATGTTTTGGGGGTGCTTTAGTTATTACGGCGTCGGCGCCTTGCATCCAGTCCAGGGCATGATGCGCTCTCCAGGATATATAGACGTTCTCCAAAGAAGAGCTGTTCCAGAACTAAAAAAGACATTTCCTGACCGATCTGGCGTATTTCTTGACCAAAAATGGTCAAGACTTTTTTCAATACTAATCAAATAACCATCTTGGACTGGCCTGGGAATTCACCAGATTTAAACCCCATTGAAAATATGTGGTCTATTTGTAAGCAACGCCTTCGTGGCATGGACTGTACGACAAAGGAGAAACTTAATCAAGCTTTAATTCAAATTTGGTACAGGGACCCAAGATGGGCTAAAGTTTGTTCAAATTTAGTGGATTCCATGCCAAACCGTATTAAAATGCTACTCAAAAGTCGAGGAGATCATGTTGTGTATTGATGTGAGTATATTAGTGCAATTCATTATAACAATTTTGAAAATAAGGTTTTTCAGTGTTTTCGCAGTTTGTTTCAATTAATGTGCACAAGGATGTAGGTGTAATGTACGGTTAATAATGTAATATAATCGTAAGTAGAATCGCTCAAAGCAGCTGGAAGAAAAGTGCTCTATTTGGGCAGAATGTAGCAATGGGCCTGGCGTTGCTTATGGAGTTCAGTGAACTGAAGGTGGACAAGTTCTCTGGTAAAGCGACATTCGTTACAAATTCATGCGAGATAAGGGGTGTGAAAAAAGCTAACGGAGCTGCGGTGAAATCTGCCCAAGTATTTATATGCAGAGAGGACGGCTCTTTTGGATGAGTTGGAGTGCTATACAAACGAATAACGGGCAATTTGGTTTGAGCACATCCAGTGGACAGTGGGGGAAAACTGTCATATAGCAGAGGATTGAGCGACCACAGGCTCAGAGGTGGACAAACTCGCTGGCCCAAATTTCAACAAGTACAAGCAGAGTACTAAATAATCTCGCGAAACATAAACGGACTGCAACGAGGAGCATACCAAATTTCTGAATAAGGATATGGTCAGAGCAAGTCAAGTCAGTACGTTGTATGTACCCAAAAGGGTGCATTTTCAGCATTTTGCATTCTGAACTGTAAATTTAACAAAGCGTCACCACTGAAAATGCTAAGTTTATAAATGGGTGGAAAATGAGAAGGATGCACTGCGATAGATCGATCGAGCAATGATCGCAAAAAGCTGAACTAAATCTTCGGGATTAGTAAACATTCAAGGCGGAAAAGTTTTCATAAAAATGCTTCTTCAGAATTCGTTTCAACTGACGGAGAAGTTTGTGTCAAGAGACAATATATCGGGGATCGTGCGCGATATCTCGCATGTAAATTCAAAGTGGGATAGAGTAGAAGGTCTCAGTGATCTTGGAATTAGGTTGAACAAATTATGCCAGCGTAATTGTGTGAAACTGGGATATATACGGCAGACAATGTAAAAAAATGATGTTTGGCGATGATGTTTGGCCGCTTTGAAGGCCTCGCCACATGGTTATATGCAAACTCCTGTGTAAGAGTTATTAAGAGGCTAATATAATAAAGCAGATAACAAAAAGCGCTGTGACACGATTTGATGTTTTTATTAGCAATACGTTTGCTTGGGGTTCTTGTAAATGTAAACGGATTATGTCCGGTGAAGAGTGGAGGTTTGGGATCAATGGAGTATATGTGTGAAATCAGTTGTTGGGTCGTTGGAAAGGCAAACAAATATCAAGAGAATATAGGGGATAATATATCATTGATACTAACCTTTATTTAACCGGGCACCAGTGTGTGCAACAACTGGCTGGGTTCCGGATCCGGAACAGCACGGAACAGGCGGAAAGTCGAAAGTCATACCGTTGCAGCACAATTCGCTCAATAATGGTAACAAGTCAGCAGCTCGTTCATTAAGATTTGCTTCAGATCCACCGAATTGAGTGACCGATACTCGCGTGACCGGTCGACTTTGAGTCTGAATATCGCCGTCCGACAGCCCATTTGATCCACCCATAAGCCAACAAAGAATCTGAGAAAAGTGGTAAGACACGCATGGACACTTTGTGCGGTTATGTCAAGATTCGGTGTGATTACCGCAAGTTTGCAAATGTGACGGACAAACAATCGAAACAAAACTTCGAGCACTACTTACATAAAGCGCGAGCTCCTGAACTGTAAGAGGATCCTGTTCGCTGCCATTTAAAGAAGTATGAGATCCTTTGGCGGACGCAGAATCCTCAAGCATTACTGGTTGGTGCGCTAGGATTCCCACTAGGTAATCCATCACTTCATCGGTCGGCAGCGTCTTCTGAGAACACAAGCAGCAAATGAGTTTAAATGGTGATATGTATAAAACACAGCAACGAAAGGGTGACTTGGGTGTTAGTGATGGTCAAACTTTTCATTTAGATGGAAACGAGTGCGCATTTTCAATACAAATAGGGGATGAAAAGAGCACCAAGCTCTCTAATGAGTAAATATTCTTTCGTAACAATATGCTTGTCCAAAGTATTTGTGGACCATATAAACGAAGCAGAAAAGGACGGATACTGATCCAAGTAAAAATATTTTAATGACCACATAACGGCAAAGCGGTGGCTCATGGATCTGACGGGAAAATGATCAAAAGACGTTATGTTTTAAGCCAGGTAGTAAAAGTGAGACTACTTTCTATTCGGTTTAAGAACTATGACCAGGGTACCGAAGTGTGAGTTAGCATCGTCCTGAGGTGGGAATCCTGGGCTGCTGTGCCGCAGATCCTCGTACAATGGGTGCAGTGACGTAACTCACCTAGTACCAATGAATGCTACCTGGACTACATATTGTAAAGAGTAGATAACTACGGCCCATGGAGTAGCGGAGTGAATCTGTTTCTTAGTTGGATGGAAACACAAACGGGAAGAGAACTGCGCGTCGCTATGACCAAAGGCATTAGCGATACTGAAAAAATGATATAGTATACAGAGAGAATACAAAAAATGCTGTTGGAAAAAGTGGATAATGTTTATCAGATGGACTATAGGCAACCATAAGCAAGAAAAAGAAAGTAGAAACACTACTGACTACATGACTGCATCATGTCAGACAAGGTCGGCGGACACCCACCCGTATGGATCCTGCCAAGGCTACTATCCATGAAAATGACATGTAACAGTTTGACCAAATCACTCGTTCAATTACATCACGCTCTTACGCCAGATCACCGACTGGTCACCTCGCGGTTCCGTTCAACTAGGCAGATCGACAGCGAAAAGTGTCCAACGAGTAAAGCACACAATGGTAATGTGGAAGACATGAACTAGCCAACGAAATCGACACATTACAATAACTTGAATAGCACAATAAGAAGACGAGTATTGCAAGATGATACCATTTCGTGCCCTCTGTTCATTTGCAAACGGCCAACATATCAAATGTCAACGTGACAAGAAGAAATCAATAATGGAAATATCTTTTTGAAAGCGTGAGATCACATGCAAGCGAAGCAAACGTTGGCTACAGGTTGAGGAGGAATTATTAACTCCGAATTTGAGCGTAACGAACAGTTGGTTCTGGACACCCAATGTTGGAGAATGGAAACGGGTCATCAGGTGGACCCCGACTGGCGTCTACTGTCATCTATCGTAACACAAACGCCAGAGTCCTCAAGTTTGCCGAGGTAGTGGCCATAAAATAGCAGTCTCCAACATTGTGAGTCCAGAAGTAACTGTTCGTTATGCTCAAACTTGAAGTGAGTGATTCCTCCTCAACCTGTGGCCGACGTTTACTCGCTTGAATGTGACCACGATGTTAAAAAAATATTTCCATTATTGATTTCTTTTTGTCACGTTGTCATTTGATATGTTGGTCGTTTGCAAGTGAACAGAGGGCACGAAATGGTACCATCTTGCAACACTCGTCTTCTTATTGTGTTATTCAAGTTAATACAGAGAATCCAATGCTTCAAACATTGCAAAAAGTCTGGACTTCAACGTGGTGTGATGCTCTACGTGGCTACAGGATCCTTTGAACTGCACTGAGTGGTGTCCTTTAAACTCCCACGCCAGATCGGTCAAAATTCAGACTAACAGCCTCTGGCTTTAGAATTAGAATTATTTTGACTCCTTATTCCTTAAAACGGAGAAAACGCAGGCCGCTGCCAAATTCCCATTGCCATGGGGTCAGGATGTTGAACTCTAGTTGTTCTCCTGTCTAGTTCTGAGCAGTCTGACAATATACTGCCCACACAATATGATGACAAATGCAGCACATTATTTGGTGCATTAACCGTCGCAAAGGATAACTTGCGACGACCAATCTGCTACACTGAGCAAGGAATGCCACTACTCATCATGACTTCCCGTCTTCTTACTTCCACTCTTACGACAGTTCATCCTTCTCATCTGGTTCGAAATTCACTTTCACCACCCATCTAATTAATACCCTATGCTTGGTCCTACCCCTTTGCTTCGTTAAGCATTTGTTCTCTGGTTTCGACTCACAAGCAGTTGTACAGCGTCAGTACATTCGACCAAATAGATAACCTCAGTTCATGCGTGTACATTTGGAGCCCTCGCTAAGACGCGCAAGTCTCAGTGTGTGCATCTAGACAAAAAACTGTCGAAAAGTAACATTTGTTGGAAAAGTAGAGGCTCTATCGATCGGTATCCGATGTCTTCGGAAATCCGCCTGCAAGACTCCAGCTCTATGCTCACTGTACGATCCCGTCCGTGTGACATTAGCAGCACTTTCTCATTGTGTGTATCCGGAGATCACGCAGCTTCAAGTGCCAGTCAAGATGCTGCGGACATTGCTTTAAGCTATCAGGCTGAAACGTCCCCGATACACTGAATCCCGGATGCGCATCGTCAAATTGGCTGATTCGTCCAAGGCCTCGAACTCTTGTGGGGATAATAGCTGCCTGTTAAGATTGGTGCCTATGCCCCAACGAGTTGCAGCACCGACTCGGTGAAGGATAACTACTGTCAAGCTGCCGAACGAGCTCATTCGTTGAAGAAAAAATACGGATACTGGGTGCTTGCTGTTGGTCTGAACACTCAAGTTGGAAAACTGTTCCCCGATGTGCTGTATCTGGGCGGCCAATGCGTTGCAGGCTCCCGTACTGATAATAGTGAGGTTGTTACACCTGTGTCTCGTCTATTTCCCGCGAGTAATAGCTTCCGACACCACACCAGTCGCGGGGTGACATTGGGCTCACCAGACAAAGATTAGCCATTGGCACAAATCGAATATATAGCGACTAGTTGCAGCTCTATTCGCAATGCGACCGTGGACTCGGACCGTGTCTGGCAGCGTTTGGGCGGACACTCCAGAGGTCGCTGTGCTAACATGGTTGGCGCATGCGGTTCCAGATTTGGCTATCACTATGGCCTCCATAGGACAGCCATAGGAGGCCTGCGCCTACAGAGGGACCATGGGTGGCTTGCGCTGCAACATTCACAGTTCCAAGCACACACACCATATACGGTGTAAATCCGAAGGAATAAGACCGGGAGGCATGAGGATGGGAGCCACATTTCATCAACGGATCCAGGCCTACACTTCTTCACAGGCAAACACAAACACGCTGCATTTGGAGAATCAAGCGCACACAAGGCGGTGGTTAGGCCGTAGCCCGCTCCACACACAAACCATGTGCACAGAACCACTCTTTGAGCCTAACACGGACACGAGGACCGTGCATCCTGTCCCTTCCAACGGTCGGCCGGTGGCCGAGTGGTCTGCACGTTTGCTTTGCAACCATAAGGTCACCGGTTCGAATCCGCGTAGGGGTGGGCGTCCTCGCGGTATACTCAGCCCGCGCGCGACTGATGGTGGTCTCGCGGCAGAGAAGCGCCGTCACGGCGTACAGCTGACACATTATTATTCCCTTCCAACAACGACCAATTGTCTCCCGGAGCCTGGATAGACGAAGTAGTGAGTAATAGACAGGTTGGCACCCTGTCAACATGCACATCAAGCGCAATCAAACCGGGGATGTCAAGCAAAAGCCAATCACTTAAAATGAGGGTAAGCAATAAAATAAATGGAATAAAGCATACGGATATACCGACTTAACCCGTTGCTTACATACCACATGAAATAAATTCAGTTTCAACATCGATAAACTCAATATGGCACAGAAAGAAATCAAACGTGAATAAAATTAACGAAAGTATCCACCCTTCATTTAAGCTAAATGTGTAAGTAAATATGCCATTATTCGGATAGACATTAAAATGAGTTAACAAAGTGTTATGACTGCGTCGCCACTGTTATAATTGAGGGAACGCCGCCTCTTGAGATAATTGCGTAATTGCCTGATAAGAGGGTCGCTGGCACGCCTACGATAATTGCTTGCTACGCTGATCACTCGAACGGAATTGCGCTGTCCTGATGACGCTGGCTTAGCCGGTGAGGCGGATAATTGAGCGAGCTTGCTAACGATCCTAGCCGCACGTGTTCGGATAGACGCCGAGCCTCGGGCGGACGCAGACGAGAGGGGGGTTTACGATAGACGCGCTCTAATGGCTTAGACGCGAAGGCTGGCCAGCTAACGATACACACGCAATCACGCGATCCGACCGACTCCCAACTGAGGCGAAGAGAAAGAAAAGACAAGTGGTCCTCTGTAGGCTCTTTTACGACCGACAAAGGGCCACTTGTCTTTTCTTTCTCTTCGCCTCAGTTGGGAGTCGGTCGGATCGCGTGATTGCGTGTGCATCGTTAGCTGGCCAGCCTTCGCGTCTAAGCCATTAGAGCGCGTCTATCGTAAACCCCCGTGGTCTTCTCCAGTACACCAGACTCCCATTTGGTGTCAAGACTGCTCCAGCTATTTTCCAACAGACAATGGACGCTATGATCTCTGGTATTCCGGGTACGGCCGCGTACCTGGACGATCTACTCATTGTTGGTCGCACCCCAGAAGAGCTACGAGAGCACCTGGCTGCAGTCCTGCAACGGGTCCAGGAGGACGGTTTCCGCCTGAAACCTGAGAAATGCTAGTTCTTCCTTCCGTCGATCAAATACCTTGGTTTCATTTTCGATGCCCATGGCCGTCATCCTGATCCTGAGAACGTCAGAGCCATCCAGCAGATGCCTGCTCCAGCGGATGTGTCACAACTGCGGTCCTTCCTGGGTCTTATCAGCTACTACAGCGCCTTCCTGCCATCGCTACACGATGTTCGAGCCCCGCTCAATCGGTTGTTGCAGAAGGACGTTCCTTGGCACTGGTCCCCCGCATGCGAAAAAGTTTTCGTTCGCCTGAAAGCCATGCTGAGTTCTGATCTACTGTTGACCCATTACGATCCAGCCTTACCGATTTTGGTC